TGATAGTTTTCTATGCTGTTTTACACCATTTAACTCGTGCTATAAATATGTTTAAAAAAAAAAAAAAAAAAACACAAGGGGGGCCGGCAGATGACATAGCAGTTACGTTGCAAGACTCCCACGTGGCTGACAGCAGGTTCAAGTCTCAGACCTGGCGGTTTAAAACTCACACTGTGCATGTGTGTGTGTGCACGCGCGCACGCCCAAAATCCCAACAGAAGAATTCCCCCCTGGGGGCGATTTCTAGCTTTCTATGTCTGCTCTCTGTCTCTCCAGCGAGCGCACACCCCCGTAATAAAAATCTCTCCAAAAGAACAAAAAAACAAAGTAGAGCCAGACTAGTGGTACAGCAGCAGTAAAATGCAATGCGCTTTACAAGGCCAACCTACATATGGGGAGGTCCTACATTCACACCTGAGTATGCCACGTACACATGTGCCCATGACCCAGAGATGCTGACACTGGGGGTTGGTTGTGCTGTCAAGACTCTGTTGGGAGATGCTCTCTTTCTCCCTGTCTCTCTCATACTCATGGAAAAATTAAGTACGCCAGCAGATAGTGTGGTTGTTAAGGCACTGAACTACCACATGGACAACCACGGTTTGAATCCTGGACCTGGCAGCCTGAAAACCATGCTGGGCATGCACGCATGCATCACCAAAATCCCAGGACAAGAATGGAAGAGGAAGAATCGCGGAGTGGCCAACCCCCTGGGGGGCTGATTTCTCACTTTCCCTCTATCTTTATCTCCCTTTGACAAGCATGTGAGTCCTATGGCAAAAACCTTAAAGAAAAAGAAAAATATCAAGGTAACCCTAAGTTGCTTCTAACAGAAACTTTCGAATTATGAGGGAAAAAACAGGGCCAGCCAGGTGAAATGGTAGTTAAGGGAGCTGGATCCCACATGAGTGACTCCATGGTTTGAGTCTCCCACCCAGCAACTTGAGAAACATGCCAGTGCATGCCCAAAATCCCAAGAGGAAAATGAAGGGACTGTGGCATAGCCATTCCTTCTGGGGGAGGTGTTTCTCATTTTTCCTCTCTCTCCTTCCAGCCAGCCATACATGCTTATAGCAAAACCCAAAAAAGAGGAAAAAAAAAGTGTGAAGAACAAATATATAAAAAGTTCTCTAACTCCTCAAAATGGAACGAATAATTTTTTAGAATATTTTGCTCAATAAGCAAATGTACAGCTTGTTCTTTTTTTTTTTTTTTTTGAGAGATTTTCGCTATAGGGTGCGTGCGCTCGCCAGACAGACAGAGAGAGACATAGAGACAGAAAGCGAGAAATCACCCCCCAGAGGGGATGGTCACGCCGCAATCCCTTCTCCTCCATTCTCCTCTCGGGATCTTGGGCACGTACACACACGCGCCCGGCGTGAGATTTTTAAGTCACCGGGTCCGGCACGCGAACCGCGGTCGACTACGTGGGAGTCCAGCGACATAGCCATTACGCTAACTGCTGGTTCCCTACAGCTTGTTCTTGACAGATGAACAAGATGACAAAAAGCAGCAAAATGTGAATGTGTTACTGTTCTAGCACTCAAAACGAGAAGAAAATTTAGTTAAATCATTACATCTAGTCCTCTGTTGAGCCTCTAGATTTCCTCCAAACCATTATATTGTTTTGCACCTACTTTCAAGGCCTCTAAAAATTCATTCTCTTTAAGAAGATATTCAAACAAACTATAGCAGTAAAATTCATGAGGAGCCATGCAAATCTTAAAAGTTTTTAAATCAAGAACTTTTTAATCTATATCGGAAGGCATAAATACTGTGCAGCCCCCAGTACAAACATTACAAGAGATGAGAATAGTAGTTTCATAAATACACACAATGTGAGCAAGGAGATCAAAGTTTGACTCAGCTCTGACCCCCATCTCTAGTCATTATCTACAGATTTCAGTTTATCTATGAGACAGAAGGTTTCCCATCACTCCAGCAATAATTGAGTACACATAAGATTAAACACCAGGAGGATGGCAAAAATATACACTATGGGTTCAAAGAAAACAGGAAACAGAAACCTTTAGGAGACTCTACCAAAGGGGCCAATGGGTGGCATGGTGGTGAAGGTGTTGAACTCTCACATGGCCAACCACAGTTCTAAGTCCCAAACCCAGTGGCTTATAAATCCAGAATAGAGAAGAAGGGATTGTGGCATGGGAAATATTTTGTCACTTTCCTCTCTCTTTCTGGCAAGCAGAGAGACAGACATGCCCTATGGCAAAGACCTAAAAAAAAAAGGCTATACTTAAGAACCAAAAACAAAATTTCAACAAAATCTTACATTTACTACTTAGGAAATTTAGGGTGGGAAAAAAAAAAGTTGTTGGGGCCAGCAGGAGGTATGGTGGTTAAGGTGCCGTACTTCCACATGGTCAACCACGGTTCAGTCCTAGTCTTACTAACTTGCTTTCTCTCCTGCTCTTTCTCTCTGGTGAGTACATGTGCCCTATAGTAAATTAAAGTAATAATAAATACAATTAAATAAATAAATATTTTTATAAAATAGGTAGCCAATGCATAAACATCCAAAGTCTTGATAAATATTGTATGAAGGTAGACAATCTCAAAGTATAACGGAGAATAAGAGATTGGTTGAGTTAGGACAGATTACTCCTATAAAGAAACAGTGCTGGCATTAGAAGAATAGATACTGAGCAGACTGTCAGAAGGCTATGAATTCGCAACTACACTCTAAAGATAAGAGAGCTATGGCTTATTTCTGATTACCTTTTGAACAGCAAGAGTGTGTTCAAAGCATTATTTTAAGATTTAGGCAGCAGACAAGACATACTGAGTAAGGAGAAAAGTCAGGCAGAAAATCTAGTTAAAAGATAATGTGTAGCCCAGACATAAAAAATTAAAATGGGGTAAAAATGTAAAGGAGCAGATAGTTGGAAGAAATTTTTAAAAATGGACAAAAATAGTCCAGTCTTGTTAGCCAGGCCTGGGTGATATCAGTTGGTAGCTTGCCAGACTAGTGCTAGAAGCTACGCAGCTAACTGCCGGTTCTGATCACTGGCCTGGTCGCCTAGAATACAGGCCTGGAAAACACTGGGCACTTGTATGCCCAGAATCCTAATGAGCTGTAAGGGATTGTGGTGTGATTGAGCTGTGTAGAAGGTCCTTCTCACATATGCACACTGACAAGTATAAACAAAGTTGAGAATGGTTCAGACCTAATTGTTGCCTTAATTAATCTTTAAATGTCATATCTGGCCCTGTCAACAGTCTTCCTCAAACAGGAGAGTATTTATGTAGAATTTGTTAAATGTTCAGTGATTTCAAAACCTCTCCTGTTTTACTTTCGACTAAATTTCCTGGAGTAAGTAAATAATATTTGGGAGGCCAGCAGATGGTGTAGTGGTTACATAGCCCAACTCCCACATGGACTACGATGGTTGGAGTCAGAGACCCAGAAGCTTGAAACTCACACTGGGCGTGTGTAAATGCATAACCAAAATCCCAGGGGAAGAATGAACTGCAACATGGTCATGCCCCCTGGGGTGTGATTTCTCATTTTTTTGTCTGTTTCTCTCTCTCTCCAGCAAATACACATGCCCTATAGCAAAAATCTCTCTAAAAAAATTGGGTGTTTTTCCACATGATAAAGGTAAGTAAATTGGAAAAAGTATTAATTATTAAACTATGACTTAAAAAAAATGGGATACAGGGTCAGGTTATAACTTAGTGGTTTATGAGAGCCAGATCCCTTGGTTAGAAAACACACCAGGTATCTGTAGTTAAATGCTCAAGATCCCCATGTGATGGAGAAACAGAGGAGAGGGGATTATGGTGTAACCAGGACCCAATGGGGGTGCTTCCTCTCTCCCCCCACCTCCTAGGCAATTCAAATAGAAAGTAACTGTATTCATTAAGTTATCTCCCTAAGAAATGATTTACAACAATTGGCACATATCAATCTTCCTTTAGCTTTAGAAGGGAAGTTGACAAAAGTTCAAAAGAAAAATAGGAAACCCTGAGGCATGATATATCTCTTGATGTACATTTCAAGTTTTATTTATATAGACCAAGAAGCACTGGGAAAATCTGAAGATAATGCTCATAAAAATAAGGCAAACATTTTAAAATTGAGTATGTGAACAAACAGCTGAGTAGATTCTGCAGACTGTGCTTTTAGATATGGTCAATAACTACAGGATACAATTTTCCCAAAGAAAATCCCAAAGCTTGTGGTCAAGATGAAATGAAAGTACTACTTGATCAATGCATACTTCTTGAGCTATGACCAAGTTGAAAGTGGGATGTCTATTTAAGACTGACAATTACCAAACAAGCAAAACTTTCTTTTTACTTTTTGACTTTGCTAAACTAAAGGTTTAAACTTTAGGCATTATTTCCAGGTCCTTAAGAAACAGCTATGGCTGGTTTGTCATAAATCTACCAAACTTAAGATTCTAAAATTGAGTATCTCTTACAACACCTAACCATTTAGGCCAGACACTGCGCTCCTTTGCTCCCCACGCAAAAGGGGTTAGAACATTCTCCTTAATCTCATTCGGTCATAACTCCTAAGGCTTCCTACCTAATCTACCAAGTATAAACTAACGGGCAAGATGACTTTCAGGTGACTTCCAGTTCGACATTAATTGAGCACCTACATTATGATTCTCAGTCCTGAATAAAACTGTGCTTCCCCAGCTTTTAACGGCTAATTTAAGTTGCGTGGAAACACAGAAAAACGATTACAAAAACAACCTGTGATGATGATCCTTTTTGTACTGGACACATTACAACTCAAGTCAAAAGCTGGCAAGCCCCAAGCACTCTGTACGAATCCAAAGCAGGTCCATATGATTAGAGTAACACTCCGATTTCCCCAGAACGAGAAAAAAAAAAAAAAAAAGGCGCTGGGGGGAGGGGGCGGGCGCGTCCCAAAGATGCCCACACTCCACGGAGCACGGCCGCCGCCCCTCCTTCCCCTCCACTCCGGTGCAGGTGAGAGCGCCCTTCCTTCGCTACCTCGTCCCTACCTTCCCGGCCTCGGATCAGGCCACCACTGGCAAGAGGACTTCTGGAGGAAGCCGACCGGGAAGCACGCTTCCTTCCCTACCACGTCCCGGCCTCCAGCCTGGCAGGGCGGCCGCCGGGCGCTC